CCCATCGCTTTCTGGATTATAGGACCCCCGGGATGTGGAAGATACAGGATGCCCAACAGCCTTGGAAAGCGCTTTAAACCTACCAAATACATCCCGGTCTCCACCGCCGCCGCCTTGCTGGTGGGCTCCACCACTTTGTTCTTCGTCTTCACGTAAGTCGGTCCCGCGACACCGGGAGAGGAGACGGGGGTCGGTGGCACGGAGTGGGATCGGTTTCTTAACACAAAAGTTCTCTTGTCATTATCTTGAGTTTGACTCCTAATTTATAAAATATTGAAAATATGTCAGAAAGAATATGTGCGTTTTATAGAAATTTCGTACTTTGCAGAGGTGGTCGGATCCTGGTGATTTATTTCACGTCCTGTGGCTCCCCCAACCTGGAAGGGGAAAAAAATAAAGAAGGCTTTTTTTGGGTGGGGGGAGAAACCTAAGCATCCCTGTTATCTGGAGACTTGCGGCGGGGGGGTGTCTGTGGACCTTCCAGGCGCTCGTTCAAAGCCCCGTGTCTGTCTGTCTGTGTGTGTGTTGTGCTTGTGTGTCCCCAGCGCCTTGCCTGTGCGCAAAAAAAACAGCAAAGCAAGGTGGCCGGGTGGGCAGATGCTGAAGCCGGAGGCGCTGTGTGTACCGGCGGACGTTAAGCGCTCTGCAGCTTCTCCCCCCTCCCCCACTCAGCCCGGAATGCCCTCTTTCCGACGACGGAAGGACTACAACTCCCATCATGCCCGGCCGGGGCGGGGGAGGATGGGAGTTGTAGTCCGGCCCGCCGAGAGAGGGCGCCATCCTTGTGGCCAGGCGCGCAGAGAGGGGGGGGGCGCAGCCGCTTTGCCGAAAATGACGCCCTTCCATCAAACCTCCGTTTCTATTTGGCTTTACGGATCTGAGGACCTTGGCGTTGTTGGCGTGTGTTTTCCTATCGCCGCAAAGAAGATCTTGTCCCTTTTTTTTGGGGGGGAGAGACGGGGGGGAGTGAAGACTGACTGGCCGAAAAATCCTGCCAGGAGGACGATCGGGGGTTTTAATTGTGCTGGAAAACTCGCAACTGGAGTTCGTTTTCCGAACCGTCCTCCTTCCAGAAACCGAGAAAATGGCTTTAAACCGCGGCTCCCTCTCCTACACAACGGGAGGGCATGCAGATTTCCAGTAGATGCACCACAGGGAGCGTCCTCTGTCTTAGCAATAAAACGGATTAAATGGGCATACATTATTTTCCATGGCACAGGCATCGCAAATGGGCCAGCATGCAGATTTCCAGCAGATGGGCTGAAATTACTCAATTCTCTCTCTCTCACACACAGAGAGGGAAATATACACAAACATGTGAATACATACACAAACACACAACCTGCCTACCTATGCTCTAAACTTGAACTGGGAGTCATTAAAGGCAAATCATAAAGGAAATCCATGCAACCTTGAGTCATTGTGTTCTGATTTGCATGCAAAACGGGGAGTCCTTAAAAGATTCTTTGCTGGCTAAAATAACCTGGCCGTGACGCTCCTTATTTATTTAGAAAAGTACTCTGTTCGTTATTAGCTGTTTGTCTGCCTAGTCCTATTTTTGCCTGACCGGAGCTCAAGGGAGTGTCTGGAAGGCGGCTGTGAGCCGGAACGCTGGCCTGGCTTGGTTTTGATTGCAAACGTGCACCGCACGTAGGCTCACACCCAATGCAACACTTTAATGGTCCTCAGGTCATTGAAACGTGATGCTAAAACGAGACATCGGCCCGTGACGGAAACGCTGGTTGTGTCGTCTTGCTTCGTGCATTTTGGATTCGTAGTGCGTCTTCCGGTCTGGCCTAAACTGCCTTGATTTTTCCCGTGCATGGTGATTATTGAGTGAAAAAATGGCTTTGGGAGAAGCAGGGCGGCACATTTTGAGATTATCCTAACCAGAGGGGGGGGAAGCACTCTTTCCCTCTCTTATCCACCGCCTTCATTTTTGCAGGCTGGCCTGTTTATTTATAGATAATGCATATAAGCAAACCTACCATCACATAAATCAGGAGGGAGGGGGAGAGAGAAAAAAACCATTGGCATTTACTTGGCTTCAATGTGATGACCCAGAATAATATTCCCAGATAAACTGAAGGATCTGTTCGTCCTCAATGAGCATACCCTTTCACAAAAATCTGAATGAGAGGCGACACCACGGTTTAAAATCAGATGGAGGAGGGCAGGGCCTTTTTAGTGGTTGAACCTCTGTTGGGAAATTACCTATATCCCCTTGCCTGTTGGTATGGACTTGGTCGTCTTTTGGACCTAAGTTGAGATGTTTATGGTCTCCGGCGCATTTAATGGGTAATTTAATTTTTTGAGTTTCTTGGCTGCCAGGTTTATTATGTGCCATTTATTTTAACAGGTTTTAACTTTATATCGTGTTTCCCTGAAAATAAGACAGGCTCTTATATTAATTTTTGCTCCAAAAAACACATTAAGGCTTATTTTCAGGGGATGTTTTATTTTACAGTCATGTCATCACCTGGTTGCTGCACAAGGGTGGAGAAGGGGTTTCATTTAACTAGGGCTTAATTTGGGGGTAGGGCTTATATTACGAGCATCCTGAAAAATCCTACTAGGTCTTATTTTCAGGTTAGGTCTTATTTTCGGGGAAACAGGGTATTCATACGCTTTTGATTGTTTCCGTTATATTCCTTCTTAATTCCCACAAAAGCTTTGGTTGAAAGATATGTGAGAACCATCAGGGAGGTCAAGAAGCAGGAAGACCAGTACCTTCCTGCTTTGCAATTCTAAGATGATGATGATGATGATGATGATGATGATGATGATGATGATGATGATGATGATGATTTTGTTTCAGGACCGGCTTTATTCTTCAGAAATACATTGCTTACATGTTTACGTCTGCCTGTATCCCAAGGGTATCATAGCAGAATCGATGGTCAAGCCCCCTCCATTGACCCTTATCCGTGACCCCAGTTGAGGTCAACCTGAGTCTGAAGCTGAGTTGACGGCTCCTAAGTCTCCCAATGAACCTCATGGCTTCGTTAAGAATGTGAATTCATGTTTGGCTTTTCTAATCCTTCCATTGAGACAGTATGGTGTAGTGGTTAAAGGAGGGTTGGGTTCGGACATCTTTTAAATACTGGAAAATAGAGTAGACCATTGGTTTGGATGGGTGGGATAGAAATCCAACAAATAATTAAATAAAACAATAATATTTTCCAGAAAAGGCACTCCTGTGATCCAGCAGCTTTGATGATGGGAGTTTCTGATCTGATTCCCTTAGGGAAAGCAAGCTATCTACTGGAAGAGGAATACTTGTATACCGCTTGGGCTTTTTCAGCTGTGCAATGGCTTTTTACTTATCTGCTGCTTTCTCACAAACTCACTTTTCTTTTTGCAGTGGTGAGAGCTATGTAGCCATTCAGGACCATTAAGATTTGTTCTCTGGTTCCCTAGACCAGCCTAATGGTTTGAGTTACAAAAGCAGTTTGAGTGCATTACATTAGTGTTCAGCTATCCCCATCACTTAAGGATTTCTAGCAGAAGCTGAACAGCTATCTTTAGGAAAACTGGGGGTGGGTGGTGATGCTCTAGTTCTAGATTTCCAGAATCAAGTAGGTAGCTAGACTAGATGCCCGGGAAGACTTCCTCCAGTGTTTCAGAGTTGATTCAAAATGAGTCATGGGCACTTCAGAATATGGATGTTCATTCTATGTAGTGTGGCCCACGACCGTGTTGAATCAGGTCATTTTAAGTAACTTGTTTGTCTGGGAATTGACTCATTAAGTTGGACAATAGATAGGCATGAAGGCTTTGGATTCATCCATGCTGCTTCTCTTATTACTTCTTTGTTTCTTTAGATGCGCGAATTCATCATTCATGATGCATGGAAACAGCGGTAGCTGTGTATGTCTGCAAAAACCTGCCCTCTTAAGAATATTCCAAGTTGTCCTTGTTTTTTATTTTATTGTAATTTTATTTCATAAAGCTAAAACCCCTGGCCTCTTCATTTTGTAAATATAAAAGAAGACTGTGCAGGAAGCATTCTAGCTATTGGTTTACAGTACTAAGATGAAAATTGCACCTGTCTTCTTATGTTCTACCCAGTGAGTACAAAGGCGCTGAGATGACTAAGCATGTCTGGTGACTATGGAGTCCTGATTGTTAGGGAAAGGGGAACAGAAAGCTGCATGGGAGAGGGAATGGAATGGAGTTCGGGGAACAGGAGCAGTACTCACTGTCAGCTCAGTGGTTTAGGTCTCTGGCTGTGGAGCCAGAGGTTGGGAGTTCAGTTCCCCACTGGGCCTTCTGGGGAGAAGAGCCAGTCTGTGTAGCCTTGGGCAAGCTGCACAGTCCCAGGGCACCCCCCAGTGGAAGGGAGTGGTAAGCCACATCTGAGTATTCACTACCTGGAAAATCCTGAGAAGGATCACTATAAGTCAGAATTGACTTGACAGCACATCATCATCATCATCATCATCATCATCATCATCATCATCATCATCATCATCATCA